CTAGTTATCATCTCGCCCAAGGTAATTAGAAGTTAGCTTGTAATAGTTGGATATTACTGTAGATATTGGATGTAAACGGCCATATTAACTTTATCTAAGTCATATAGTAGGTGTGAAATCTGTTTTTAGTAACTTTCATCTGATTTTAACTTTGCTGCAGCGTGCCGGGTGATTTGTGAGCACTGTACAGGTTTAGAAAGGTGTTGATAAACAAGCGCACCACATGTGCGGGGCCAGCAGAAGTAGAAAGCTAGAAATGTTAGTAGTAGGGACTGCATTGCTGTACTCGCTGCCAACGCAAGATGCCCGATAGGATATTATTGAAGCCTTCGCTTAGGCCTAATGTTTCGGCAAGGGTGTGGACCGTGGTGCATTTTGCGCGCAAGCCTTTTATTGTCTTGTTTACTATCTCTGGGCTGCGAGTGTTTGTGTTGAGGTCAGATTCGGTAAATCGCAGAAACTGGTTGGAATTGAGGTAGTCGTGTCTCGTCTTCACGCTTGTAGTTGCTTGTAAGGATTTAACTCCTCGTTCCTTATCCACTGTACTTCCCGTGAAGGGGTTGTTTGCTCAATCCCAGTGATTTTCTAATGGCTTCATTAAGTTTAATTATTGTGCTCTAGTTCATATTCCCAGTTCGCATGTTGTTTGGATAGAAAGCACATGATCTATCAAATAGTTTCAAAACCGGTCTATCGTTTTAACAGTTGCCTTAAAATAGTTTGCTTTTTATGTTAAAAACATTTTTGGCTAAGCTTCTTTGACTAGAGGAAAAGTATATAACTTCAACAATTTCGTTCGTCAGCAACTGCGGCAGAATGTTCTGTTATGCGGCTTCACTAAGCTGATGATACAAATACAGTAAGAACCCCAAGGTCTGTCTGTGAAGCAGAGAGGTCTTTGCACCATGTTTATGTTCACAAGACATTTGTCTAGTGTCTAGATTGAAAGATATACAGCCTGACGTATGTCTACTTGGAGATATTTATTTAGTCTTCCCATCCTAGAATGACTTATAAGTAGTAGGTAGTGAAACCCTCGCAATCCTTGCAACTACATATATATATATATATATATACGTGAATTATATCTGTATGACATGACGATATGAATTAAACATCATATTAATTGTGATTTTTTGCGATTTTCAAAAAACACTAGAAATAAATATATATTGAAATTTAAAAAAACATTTTAAGTTATATCATTCCATATAAATAAATCAGAATGCATATTATTAGTTGTTTGTATGAGGTTATTTTCACGTAATTATTCCATCGAAGAAATCGTAGCTAGGACACGAGGTGTTACTATAAAGAATTTTCTCACGTGTTAGTTTTTTGTGATCATCAAGCGAATATACAAAGAATAATTCTAAATAATTAGTCACTCGAAAACCGTTTCTCGGTTGGTTGACATTAAATGCGACAGCAGCTTTTCCAATGAACACGAACAAACGAAATAAGCAGCAACGAAGGAACGTGTGTATGTAGGTGATAGGAACTAGGAAGTATTAGGAACGCCACACTGCAAGTTCTCGCAGAAACGTGCGTATGCCCGGAGGAGTGAGAGAGTATACAGATAGCGCCAGTCTATCAACCTAAAAATAAATACAGGTGTCATCTATAAATTATGTGTAGCGGCAGTAATACAGCGTATCACGATAGGTAATAGGAGTTATGCAGGCGGTGGGGGTATAGCTCAGTGGTAGAGCATTCGACTGCAGATCGAGAGGTCCCTGGTTCAAATCCGGGTGCCCCCTCAAGATATTTTGTTATTTGCTAACAACGTGTCTAGCACCTACCGATTTTCACGTAACGAGATCCGCAATGCTCATAGAGTACTCGTCTATATTTCTACCGCTCGTTTTGGCTCTTAGTCTAGCTCTAGCTCTAGCTAGGCACGTAGACTCGTTATAATCTGTCTTGGACATGTGAGCACATAGTCCAACGGAAGTGAAGACGATCAATGGAGGTATAGGCGTCTCGACAGACAGACAGTTATCAGATCTGTATACTATCTGTCTACTCGATTTTCTTCCTGGAGTACTTTGAACGAAATAGGAGCAACTACCCCACAAACAGTTGGCGTGTTTGAGAGAGAAGGGGGAAGAACGTGACAGAGAGTGACAGAGAGAGAGAGAGACAGAGAGAGAGCGAGAGCGAGGAGAGAGAGAGAGAGAAAGACGAGAAGGAGACAGGAGAAAGCGAGGAGAGAGGAGGGGGGGGCGAAGAGAAGCGAAGAGAAGAGCAGAAAGAGAAGAGAGAAAAGAGAATAGAGAGAGAGGAAGTGAGAGCGAGAGCGAGAGAGAGAGAGAGAGAGAAAGAGAGAGAGAGAGAGAGAGAGAGAGATAGCTAGAGAGCGAGAGACAAGAGAGAGAGAGCGAGAGAGAGAGAGACAGGAGAGAGAGAGAGAGAGAGAGGAGCACGGATTTTATCAATAGAATTTGAAC